GGATCAGGAGGGTCAGAGAGGATGAGGGAGGGTGAGGGAGGGTGAGGGAGGGTCAGAGAGGATGAGGGAGGGTCAGGAAGGATGAGGGAGGGTCAGGGAGATGAGGGAGGGCCAGGGAGGGTGAGGGAGGGTGAGGGAGGATGGGGGGGGTCAGGGAGGGTGAGGGAGGATCAGGAGGGTCAGGGAGGATCAGGAGGGTCAGGGAGGGTCAAGGAGGGTCAGGGAGATGAGGGAGGGCCAGGGAGGATGAGGAGGGGTTGGAGAGGGGTGCAGTAGCCCAGGCATGCACCGCCTTTTCTCCAGCAGCAACACCAGGTGACAGGTGACCGGGATAAAAGGTACACAATCACAGTTATTGTTACCTTTTTTTAGAGCAATTTAACAACGGAACATGGACAAACATCTCTGAAACAAAGGTTTCAGGAGAGGTTAGGGCGCTGGACAAATCTGTGGTGAACGCGGAGAGTTCCCAAGGCTGAGCCCGAGCTGCCCAGCTAGCCCCACGTCTGTCACACCTGTCCCCACCACCACAGGTGACTCTGGCACCGCAGGCGGGGTGTTCTGCCAGGTGCAAGGCTGGCACGGCGAGCCCGTGACTTCCGTTCTACATTCCACTGGAGCATCAGTCCCCTCTTTAAACGTGCTCCTTTTAATTAGAAACTCACTTTCAGCCTGGTTTTTGGCTTGAAAAATCTTGTCCAACTCAGCTTTCTGTTCTGCCAATTCTTTCTCAAACTGGTCCTGTAAATTCTCCAACTCCAACCGATGCTTTTCAGACAATTCTTTGCGTAGGTTTTCCAGGCATAAACCTCTCTCGGATTCCCAGTCTTGCTTCAGGGTCTAACTCAAACAAGGAAAGAAGACAACTATGGGCCAATAGTTGATGATCTGTGGCAAAAAATTCCAGTTACATTCAATGTGGGTGTGGGTAGTCGCTGCGCCCAGACAGGACTATCGGCACAGGGGCCCCGGGTGGCCCCCCACTGACAGGGCAGGCACACAGAGCAAGGACCGCCTGCCCAGAAACAGAGCGGGGGCAGAGGTTACCCTCAACGATTTGTTCACCGTCCCCCATGAAAGACCCAGGGTGCTACTATGACGTCACCTGACCACTTCCAAGGGCTGGCTTTGTCCCAAATGCCCTAAGAAATGAGTCCCCACTGTCCAGCTTAGATGGGTGGGGAGCTGGGGCACAAACCTTCAATCTGGGACAAGCCTCCACCAATTGCCTGATCAGAGGAGACAGGACATAAACACCCACATGCCCCATGTCATACATGTCCCCACTCTCACCAATGTCCCTCACGTCCCCCAACCTCACCAGCACTTCCTCTGCCATCACCAGCATACAAGGCCCTTCTACACATGTGGCCTTGAAAAAGGGACCCATTGCCAGGGTCAAAAGCTCCAGTGAGAGACTCCTGTGACACCGTAAAACGTAACTCTTTCCCCAGAAGGGGACAACCGCAGGACAAGCTGGTATGGTCAGCACAGCACTCAGGGCCCACTGCGGCCCTGCCTCCCTGCACACCCTGCACTGCCTCCCCCAACCAAGGGCCCAGGACCTGCATGCTCTACCCACACGTTTGACTCAGGTGCCAGTGTGCCTCCCTGCAAGGGACATCCATCAGTCCTGGAGCAGAACAAGGGCCAGGCCATGGGCGCCACTTGGGAACGAGACTTGAGGTGCAAGGGCTTCACATTACAGAACAAGTACACACGAAATCCCAAACAAGCCTTGCCGACAAACTCAAACGTACAAATTAAAGAATGCTTTGGCTCTAAAACAAAAGACAATGCATTTTCTACCAGCACATTCAATTAAAGCTTTGACTGGATTTTGTCTGAACCAGGTGAGGGGGTTTCCTGTGGGGAGCCTGGAGATGGGGTGGGGGGCAAGCTGGAGGGATGGAGGACAAAGGGGAAACGCTGCATACACAGAGTGACATTTCTAACGACGTCTACCTCTATTATCCGCACGTTTTTCTCCATTTCTGACTGTAACTTCTCCTTCAGCTCAGCTACAAGAAAAACATAAACGCAGGTCAGATCAGAGTTCTCGGCAGTCTGCTCACCCAGGAGGTGAGAGGGCTGCTCCACAGGAAGGCTGTCCACACAACAGGACAACAGGGCACACGTGTGTGAGGGAGTAAGTAAGAAGTCGACGTGTGGTTTAATTAACAAACGATACTCACGCCCAGACCAGGACAGGGCCTTCCAGCCAGGCTGGCGGCCCAGCACAAGCTGGCTCTGGAGCGGCAGGGGCTCGCCCTTCTGGTCTGTCTGCCCCACCCCAGGCCTCCATGCAGCTGGGCCTGTCGTTCAGGCTCCCGCCATGCCAGACTCCAGGCAAGGTACTGGCAGACAGACAGGTAAAGACCTTCTAGAAGGCAGCAGCTCCCAAGCCGAGAGGAAAGAAGCATAAGAAAAGAGGTACCAGGTGCTGAGGGTGCAGAGGAGGGGCGGGGCAGGACCCACAGGCACAGCCTGGCATACACTGGGAGATGCACGCACACCTGGACATATGGGCACCAGAAAGAGATGCAGGAAAGAGCCACGGTGGAGCTAGTGCCAGCCAACGGTGCACATGAAGGTGAGGGTGGTCTGGGCAAGCCCAGAACTCAAGCAAAGGGCCAGATGCTGCCTCTGAGGGAAAGTCATGTGGGCACAGCCCAGTGGCAGAGCCTCACAGAGCAGAGGATAGGTCCTGTTACCAGAGATGAGCACAGAGGAAACAGCTTGGAAAGGGGCCTAAGGCAAAGCATATTTTTTATTTTAAAAAATGAGGAAATTGGGCACCTGGGAGCTCGATCGGTTAAGCATCTGACTCTTGGTTTCAGCTCAGGCCATGATCCCAAGGTTCACGGGTCTAAGCCCCAAGTCAGGTTCCGCACTGGTATGGAGGCTGCTTGGGATTCTCTCTCCCTCTCTCCCTCTCTCCCCACCCCAATTGTGTGTACTCATTTTCTCAAAATAAATACAATTAAAATAAATGAAAAATCAACAAAAATGGGGGGATGTCAAACTACTTATTTATGTTTGTTTGAACCCACATGAGAAAACAGGACAGTGTCCCTGGAACCTGGGAAGACTGGCCCCCTCTTGGGTTGGGGGGTGAGATGCAGAGAAGGCTTTCAACACATCCAGGGCTGCACACACTGCTTTCATTTCTCAAATGAAAAACTCAACAAATAGGCAAATAAGGAGGGATGTGGGGTGACTGCTCAGGGGCAAGGATTTCTTTCTAGGGGGGAAAGAAACCTTAGATTGTAGGGATGTGTGCATGACTCTGAGACACACACCATGAATGGTAGAATTGTATGGTGTGTGAATTACAGCACAATCAAGCTGTTGTTTAAAAATCTGATGCTTACATTTATTTAATCATTATTAAAAGCATCAATGTGTTATTGTCAGATTTACAAAATTAAAACATATCCTGCTACATGCATTTATTAGTTACTTACATATACTAACTGAATAAAGAACTTGAAATTTATAACAAAAGTCCACTTATTATATGCCAACTGGAAATAAGATTGCATTTACATGAGTGACTATCTATACACGTGAATAAAAATTTATCTTTAAAAAAATAAAACTGATGTTTACAAAAAGTAGTTACTAGCAACATGTACAAAAGAAACATGAAAACATACGAGTAGGCCTTAGATGTAAACAAAGAGCTCAGAGGCGGCCAGAGAATCACCAAATGAAAAGATGCCTCAGCTGTCCCCCGGGAGCACCGTGGCCCCACTGGGCGCAAAGTGAGAAGCTTGGGGCTGCGTGTCCAGGAGGTCAGTCGCAGACACAGTCCCATCAGAGGCGGACGCGGACACTTCCAGCACACGAACAGGGGACCTCCCACAACATCCCTTCCAAACCTGCTGCGAGCCGGCTAGAGAAGCAGATGCGAGGGGACAGCAGGGTCCCAGCAGACAGGGCGCACGCGGCCCCACCCAGGGGCACCCCTGCACTTCCGCACATCCACGCGGTCCCTGGGAGGCGCTCCTGCAGGGCACCAGCTTCCCTCCCCGAAGCAGACACGTGGTGGTGGCGGTGGCGCACGCCCGGCCCACAGCCCGTACCCGTCTCGCGGCTGCACCGCAGCGCCGCCGCCTCCTGCTCCCGCGCGTGCTGCTCCCTGACGAGCCCCAGCTCCTGCTGCTGTCTGCTGCGCAGCAGGGCCAGCTCCTGGGCGTGCCGGCCGTTAAGCATGGCCCGCAGCTCCGTCAGCGCCGTCTCCTTCTCCTTCTGGAGGTTGGCCTGCGTCAGCTCCAGCTGCGCCGTGTGCATGTTGCTGAGACTCAGGCGCAGCGCCTCCAGCTCCAGCGAGGGCACCGGCTGCGGGAGAGAGAGGGGTTTCTGGGCCCACGGAGACACTGCAGAGGCACCCCACCGCCTCGTGCTGTTTGCACACTCAAGGGACGGCACGTCCTCCACAGCACTTCAGTTGTCCCCACTGCCCTCGGGCAGCCCTGGCACCGCCCAGCAGCTCCCCAGCCGCCGAAAACTGCCCACCCGATCCTATCTGGAAGCCCCTCCGGCCCACACGTCCTCTTCCTCCACCTAAGCCACAGCTCTGCGGACGGCGGGGGCTGCACAGGATGGCCCCCCAGCTCCCTCCAGGCAGACCAGACCCCCCCAGCCCAAGGCCCATCCTGCTGGCTGGAGAAAGGTGAGCAGCCATTCCAGAGGCTGCAAGCCCCTCATCAGAAACATGCAATGACAACCAGAATACGGACAGCAGGAGGCTTTGGACGGTCACTGCCAACGAGGGCAAAACATGCGGCAAGAGAGCCCCCAGAAGCGTTGAGTGAACGACACTAACAGGAATCCCACGCTCAGACCAGAGACAGTGACGGTGCTGCTCTGGAAGGGGGCAGACGGGGTACAGGACACACTTCTGTGCCTGGCTAGGACATGCAGAATCTGTTTCTCCTTCCACTGGCTGTGGGGAAAGTGGAGGAAGGCCAGGGTTCTGGGGAGCATACTTTATTCCCAATTAACACACACAACAGAAAAACATGCTTAGAACTAGGCATTTAAGGGGCACACGGAAGCACGTGAAAAGAAAATGAATAAAGGAAAGCAATAAGCAGAAGCCATGGTCAGAGAACACGTCTCCCAAGAGGCCGGCAGGGACGTCCTGCAGGACCGCGAGGCCGCAGTGAGCCGTGGGGACATGTACGCCCTCCCCCCCGAGAGCGCGTCCACAGCACCCCGTGCTTCCTGTAGGTGACAGGCACCAGGGGGGTCAGATGTGCCTCCAGGACAGCCTTGCTCACGGTGGTGGCACCTCCAGGGTTTACTGAGTGGGATCAGCGGATGATAGGGAAACATCTGGCTGTGCTGAGCGGCACTGGGCCAGATGCACTGCCCCTGCATGTCCTCGCGCGTCCACCTGCCCTTTCAAGGGCCCCACACACAACGAGCTGCCGCACACATCTGTCCACTGTGACAAACCTTTCCTATAACCCTCCCAGATCCCAAAACCCACTGGTGTAAGATACAGGGCGACTACGCAGGGACCGGCCGTGCCCCTGAGCACCTGTACGTGGGCCCGAGCATCCCAGGTCACCTGGGTCTGCAGCTGGACCTGCTGCCTCTCCACGGGTCCCTGAAGCTCAGCCGGCACCTGCTCCTGTGCGCCGACCTCATCTTCTGGTCTTCTTATCCGTTGCGCAATTTCTAGTGTACATTCTTGTTCACATTCCTGAAGAAGGAAAGCAAGGGACGTGAACCAGAGAACTCCCATGAGAAAACAGTCACTAAAAACAATTACAACATCCCAGAGAGAACAGAGAACGTGTTTGCACAAAAGCTGGTCCGTGAGTGTTTGCAGTACTACTCACAGTCGCCAGGAGGAAGCAGACCACATGTCCACTGACAGGTGGATGCAGAAACACGGTGTGGCGAAGCCATCCATGGGGGTGTCAGTCAGCCATAAAAAGGAATGATGTGCTGGCGCGTGCTACAACCCTGATAACTTCAAGACACACTCAGTGACAGATGCCAGACACATACCGTGTGGTTCTGCGAATATGAAATGTCCAGAACAGGCAAATCCACAGGGACAGAATGCCGACCGGTGGGTGCCAGGGCCTGGAAGGAGAGAGGAATGGGGAATGACTGCTAACGGGTATGAGGGGGTTCCTTTTGGGGTAATGAAAAAATGTTTTGGGATTAGACAGTTGTAATGGTTGTACAACAAAGCGACTGTACTAAATGCCACTGAAATACGTACTTCAGAACAGTGAATTTTATATATGTGATTTATATCTCAATAAAAGTAATACCTATGAAGGAACATTCAGCCTGTTTTCTTTTTAATTTTTTTACATTTATTTATTTTTTTGAAGACAGAGTGAGACAGAGCATGAGCGGAGGAGGGGCAGAGAGAGGAGACACAGAATCCGAAACAGGCTCCAGGCTCTGAGCAAGCATTCAGCACAGAGCCTGACACTGGGCTCGAACTCACAAACTGTGAGATCATGACCTGAGCCAAAGTCTGACGCTCAACCGACTGAGCCATTCAGGCGCCCCATATTCAGCCTGTTTAAGTGGCCTGGGGTAAAGCAGAAAACCCCAGAGAGAGAGACTACAGGTATACACAGGACAGCAGTGTGACCCTCCCGGGCTATTTGCCCCTCAGTCAAAGGAGGGGAGTGATACTTACGGGGGGAAAACACACATTAAAAGCCTGGAAGAGGTGGGTGCCAATAAAAGCTGAACAAACCTGAAGATGTAAATTTGCAACATTATTTTATAGCAACTAAATTGACAAAAGTTGGTGATAATGTTGGTCCTCAATATCACCAAGGTCATGGAGAAATAACCAAACACTGTCAATGAGAGAATAAGTTGGTATAACTTTTTCTTAAAAGATATTCTGACAACGTATGTCAAGAGCCATAGAAAATGTTTGTCTTAACATTTCCAACTCCGGGAAAACTTTCAGCATCAACACTCCAGAGGGAAAAGCTACAGGCCTTCTTTGAGCATCCCAGTCTCTTCTCCCCAGCTAGCCCCTGCCCAACTGGAGCACGTCCCCCCTGGAGCCCAGAGCACGCCCTCCCCTGGAGCCCGGAGCATGCCCCTCTGGAGCCCAGAGCACGAACCCCCTAGAGCCCGGAGCACGCCCCCCTGCAGCCCGGAGCACACCCCACCTGGAGCCCAGAGCATGCCCCCCTGCAGCCCAGAGCACGTCCCTCCTGGAGCCTGGAGCACACCCCTCCTGGAGCCTGGAGCACGCCCCACCCATAGCCCAGAGCACGCCCCCCTGCAGCCCGGAGCACACCCCACCTGGAGCCCAGAGCACGACCCCCCTGGAGCCTGGAGCACGCCCCCCTGCAGCCCAGAGCACACCCCACCAGGAGCAGGCTGCTACAGCCACAGGCCTCCCAGCTCCCCCTGCATGACAGCCCAGACCTTCTCTCACCTGGAGCCCAGAGCACGCCCCACCTGCAGCCCAGAGCACCTCCCTCCTGGAGCCTGGAGCACGCCCCCCTGGAGCCCGGAGCACGTCCCCCCTGGAGCCCGGAGCACGCCCCCCTGCAGCCCAGAGCGCACCCCACCTGGAGCCCAGAGCACACCCCACCTGGAGCCCGGAGCACCTCCCTCCTGGAGCCCGGAGCACACCCCACCTGGAGCCCGGAGCACGTCCCCCCTGGAGCCTGGAGCACGCCCCCCTGCAGCCCAGAGCACACCCCACCAGGAGCAGGCTGCTACAGCCACAGGCCTCCCAGCTCCCCCTGCATGACAGCCCAGACCTTCTCTGGGGCTTGCCTACAAGGCACCTCGGACTCAAACCAAACTGAAATTTTCTTGCCCAAACTCGGGCTCCTCCAACATTAGCTACCTCAGTCAACAGCACTCCCAAACCGCACAGTCCTATTCCTGCCTCCCCTCACGGGGTCCTACAGTAGCTCGAGGCCATCCTGGCATTCCGCCATTCCCCTGAGCTCGGCTGACTGCCCCCCATGGCCATGCGGTCTAGTCTGCAGTCACTGGCTTGGAGGCCAGGTGATACATTCAGAAAACAAATCTGACCTCATCACACTCTCTTGGAGAACTCCGTGCGTCCACTGCCCTTGGCATAAAATCCCTGCAGGGTGCAGCCCCGCTCGATGTCCCACTGGGCACCTGCTTCACGCACCAGGAACACAAATCCCTTGAACAGCTATGCGTCTCTCCTTTAGTTCCTCTGGGGCCTCCCCAGCCTCTGTGCCGGTTTCAAGGCTTGCCTCCACCCCTGCGAGGGCTCCCGCTGCTCCCTAAACACACATCTGTGGTGCCCAGGAAGCACTCAGTCAGCACTGCGGTGAAGATGCACACGCAAGCAGCCTCTATCTGTGAGGGCAACAATGTGGAACCACAGTGTTCAAAGGGGAGCGGCAGAGCCAGTTAAACTATCATTATGGATCCTTTTTCAAATTAAGGTTTTTTTTCCCCAATGGGAAAAGGTAACAGGAATGTCCAGTTTTAAACATGAAAGCACAGGGGTACTGGGGTGGCTCAGCTGATTAAGCGTCCCACTCTTGATTATGGCTCAGGTCATGATATCATGGTTCATGAGTTCAAGCCCCGCATCGGGCTCTGTGCTGACAGCTCAGAGCTTGGAGCCTGCTTCCAATTCTCTGTCTAACCTCTCTCTCTGCCCCTCACTCCCTCTCAAAAATAAACAAACATTTTTTAAAACTTTTTAATGGTTAAGATGGTAAATTTTATGTTAAGTGTATTTTACAATAAAAAAAAGACGAAAGTATACACTGAGGGAATTATAAAGTTTATTCTAACATCCTTGTACTATCAGAGTAAAGCTGTTGATTAAATTTAGACGTAGAGAAGTATAAATGTTGTATGTAATAAGCTTCCACCATTAAAAGAAGAGAAACTGAGTTATTATTTCAAAATGGGTAAAGGGAGAATTAAAAAAAAGAAATCCCCTGATAAAAAATAATCCAATGAAATGTAAGCTCAAACACATCAGAGTTTATATTAAATGTAAATGAATTAAACTATCCACAGGGGTGCCTGGGTGGCTCGGTCAGTTGACTGTCTGACTTCAGCTCAGATCATGACCTCACAATTCAGGAGCTGGAGCCCCACACTGGACTCGCTGCTGTCAGCGCAGAGCCTGCTTGGGATCCTCTGCCCCCCCTCTCTCTGCCCCTCCCCCACTCGTTCTCGTTCTCGCGCTCTCTCTCAAAAATGAATAAACATTTATTTAAAAAAAAAACTATCCGCTAAAAAAAATTGTGAGAATAATTTTTAAATATCAACGCCGTGCTGCTTACCACAACATACATCTAAACCACAAAGATGCAAAGATATCAGAAGGGAAAGGATAAAAAAGACCAGAATCATGTCTGATCCAATGACACAAAGTTCTACAGCATAACAGCCACGGGAATCAGGATGGTGTTGACTCTGGGATATGGGAAGGAGGGCAGCAGGACCCGAGGAAGATTCCACGTCCAGCACTGTCCTATTTCTTACCCGCAGAAGGACCATACTACTGTGTATTCATTTGTTAGGCTGTACGTACACTTTATGTACTTTCTACTTCTCTGTGCACATGCTAGATGTCATAGGTTAAGACAAGTATAAAAATGTGTATTTAAGGGTGAGTTTTATGGACCCCACCAGAGACCATTTTTCCTACAATCTAGATCTCTCCTGTAGTAATGCAGATTAAAAACCAAACTTGCTCACTGACTTAAGTAATGTAGACTGAGTGAGTCCCACCAGAATCAAACATCTGAAATACAGGCTTTAGGGGCGCCTTGCTGGCTCAGCTGGTAGAGCATGCGATTCTTTAGCTCAGGGTTCTGAGTTCAAGCGCCACACTGGGCGTGGAGCCTACCTAAAAAAATTGTTTATAATACAGACCTTTAAAACAACACTTTGAAACCAGTCAGTTCAGTGTCTGAATTGTTTAAAAATTAATTTCCTTCCAAACGCTAAAACAAAACAAACAAACAAATATAAGTAAGTAACCCATCACATGTGGGATTCACGTCAGGCCCTGGGGCAGAAGCTGGGGCCACGGGAGAGATGATGGCCAGGCCCAGGAAACATGCTGCAACCAAAGGGCAACGGGTGAGTGAGGGAAGTCACACGTGACCGCCATCCCCGGCACACACAGGCAACTTTCTCTCTTTAACATTGGGGAAAAAGATGAGAGGTCCCCAGAGAGATTGGGGTCCATCAGAAAGGTCCCCAGAGAGGCTTCCTGCACCAGGGCAGCAGGGTCTCCGGGGAAGCTACTCGGCCAGCCTGCTTTCTTTGCTTCGAGTCTGCTCTTAGAGACGGGCCCACAGATCCTGAGTCCGCTCTCTGGTTCTATAGTACAGGGGGAAACCCCTTCGCGAGGAACACGCTTTAACAGAGAAGCTGGAAGAATACCTCCGTGATAACCCCAGGCTGTTCTGGACGGTCGCCGTCCAGCTCCTGCTGTGGCTGCGAGGAGGGCGCTGTCCTCTCTCCGTCGGGGTCCTCCAGCTAAGAGGGAAAGGGCCAGAAAGGAGCATTTATAGCATCGTCCAGAGCTGTGACCTCAGGCCTGCCGGCCGCACGCCCAACTGCCCACACCAAATCCATCCCCAGCCGTTCACAACACGCTTTCCTCCAGAAACATTCTCAATCCCTAAACATTTTTTACGCAACTCATTTCCCTAATGATGCTGCTGTCCTTCTTAATGAATTTTGCTTCAAGTTATTTCACTGTGTACATGACATTTAAATTACTAAATTTTAGTTTCTCAATAACTTCTATTCTTTCAGACACATGCACATTTTCTATGCTCTTCTTTTTATTTAAGTTCAAATATTTCATCTTCATGATTTTCCACTTTTAAATAAATTTTTCCTTAATAATTTGTAATAAATTAATTCCTTAATATTTGTAAAAAGAGTCTTTTTAGTTTCTTTTTATAAATCATCTCGAACCTGAGTTTAAAGTTTCCCAATGAATTATCCCTGATGGATTTTGGGCCCATAAATTCACAGTAATTCTGGGCTTTTAATCTGCTGTGCAAAGTGAATTGATAATGATTGTCTGCAAAAAGTTAAGTGATATCCGAAGAAAATCTATGTCCGAAATATGAAATCAAAGGCAACATCCACACATAAGTCTCTCTGAGACGTGCCTTTGTCATTAACCACAGCATCGCCTTAACTCTGGGTACGTTATCAGGGTCTGCTGGACCCAACGTGATTGTCGCTTCTTTTTAAGCAGTTATGACTACTTCAGAGCTGATGTTTCATAAATTTTCTCTCTGATGGGTCTTCTAAAACACAAAGAAAAGATTTACTTACTTCTCTAAGAAACAGAGTAGAACATATTTTATTTTGCAATTACTACATGGGCCCACTAGACCCTGGTATTATCTAAGACCCAAGGAGGACCTGAGCAGTCTTGTTTTCATCTATCACGACCACACTGTCATCCTAAGAATTATTCATCAGACTGAGCAGTTTTTCCACCTATGCCAAAACCCCCCCAGACAGTGAGGAAACAGAGGAAAGGGAGCCGCCTGGAAGATGAAGAAGCAGTGTGGTGATGTCACCATCCTCCGGTCTTCTTGCTCACTGCAGAGACTCACTGCAAACCATCTTCAACATGACAGCCAAGAACTTCCCGTTTTCCGCCCAAAATGGCAACGAGAAGAAAGCCAACAGGACAGACTTTCACAATCACTGAACTGAAAGATGAATGCCGAGAAAGAACAGCACTTGAGGCCAAGGATGATGGCAAAATTGAGAGTAAAACTGAAGCCTCAAATCGCAAGTCTTCACAGACAATATTCAATCAAATTTCTCAAAAATCAGGAATCAGTGAACAAAACATTTTTTTAATTAATTATTTTTGAGAGAGAGAGAGAAAGAGAGTGAGCACAAACACAAGCAGGAGAGGGGCAAAAAGCGTGGGAGAGAGAGAATCCCAAGCAGGCTCTGCACTCAGTACCTGAGCTGAAATCAAGAGTCTAGGCCCAACCCACTGAGCCACCCAGGTGCCTCAAATGTGGAGAAAAACATTTCTAAAGAGAAAGAGGAAGCATAATAGTCTCATCCAGCGTCACTCACAGGAGGGGCTGCAACTCACAATATTCTGCCTCAAGAACCTCCATCATCCCACTTGCTAAGAGCATATCAATATTCTTTTAATTTTATTCTATGTGCCAAAATTTACTTGATATAAAGAGATACAGGGGCACCTGGGTGGGTCAGTTGGTTGAGCGTCTGACTTTAGCTCAGGTCATCATCTCACAGTTCATGAGTTCAAGCCCTGTGTCGGACTCTGTGCTGACAGCTCAGAGCCTGGAGCTGCTTCAGATTCTGTGTTTCCCTCTCTCTCTGCTCCTTCCCCACTCATTCTCTGTCTCTGTCTCTCTCTCTCAAAAATAAACAAACATTAGATAAACAAATAAATAATAAACATTAAAAATTTTTTGTTTAAATAAACAGGTACAGGGGCTCCTGAGTGGCTGAGTCAGTTGAGCATCTGACTTCAGCTCAGGTCATGAAATTACAGTTCACAAGTTCAAGCCCCACATGAGGCTCTGTGCTGACAGCTTAGAGCCTGGAGCTGCTTCAGATTCTGTGTCTCCCTCTCTGCCCCTCTCCTGCTTGCACTTTGTCTCTCTCTCAAAAAAATTAACAACATTAAAAAACATTAAAAAAAATTAAATTAAAAACAAAAATTTTTTAAGAAATATCAAAATTTTTAATAATATCACTTTAACTTTCTGCTTTATTCTTACTCCTGTTACTTATAAAACAACTTAAGCAAAAAGTAAAGCAGGGGACCCAGATGATACAAGAAGATGACTACCTTCCCTGAGTGCACACACATGCGCTGGAAGAACTCTAGAGCTGTGCTTCCCAACACTTCCACAGCCCTGCTTAAGACGTGCACTACAGGGCGCCTGGGGCTCAGTCAGTTAAGAGTCTGACTCTTGGTTTCAGCTCCGTGATCTCACAGTTCGTGGGTTCAAGCCCCACATCAGGGTTTGCACTGGCAACTGCAGAGTCAGCTTGGGATTCTCTCACTCCCTCTCTCTGCCCCTCCCCCATTGTCTCTCTCTTTCAAAAATAAACAAACATTTTAAAAAATCTTTTTTTTTTTTTTTTTTTTTACAAACAAAAAAGGTTTTGTAAAGGTGATTTTCCTCTGACGTTTTTGAGCTCCAAGCAATCTTTGGATGGTTCTTTTACAAGAAATGGCCTGTACTTATTTTGTTCCTGACATAGAGCTGAGGTCAAATACTGCTTTCTGCCATTTCTCAGCTAACTGCCAGAACGGAGATGACCGTTGGACTGATTAAAGTAAAATAAAAAGTCTTTCCATCATGCACTTCACTTAAACTGTGAGGGAAGATGGCTAGATCCTGAACACTGACCATACAGTCTTTTTGCAATTCTATCGTTGCTTATAACCTCTTGGAAAACTCAAATCTTACAGTTGCTGACAAACATGCTTATTTACATAGTCTTAGAATTTGCTACGTGCCTGTGTTTTCTGCTCAGATGAGCAATTTACTTTCTTTACCCTAAGACTTTACAATCTTTACCTGAAAGAGTACAGCAAAATTATGATATGTGAACTTTACGAATTTTTATTACAGAATTTTCATGTTACATTATTTTTGCAATTGTCTATCTCCAATTTCTTTAGTCTTTTGGTCTTAAAACTAAAATGCTGAACACAAAAAAACAGCTTCTGCACTAAGTTAACCTGCAGAATATGATTTCACCCAGCCTGGCACATTTCGCAACTACAGCAAACCAACCGTTGGAGGGTGACCCTAACTCAGCAGTGGACACCACAAGGAAAACCACCAAATGCCAACCGGGCATTTCCACTTCCTGGATTGTTCTTCCTGGGGTATGATTTTCAGTTCTTTCCTATTTCTAAAGACCATTAAAGTAACAAATGTATCAAATATACTTTTAAACCAAACTAAGTGGGGGCACCTGGGTGGTTCAGTCTGTTAAGAGTCCAGACTCTTGATTTCAACTCAGGTCATGATCTCAAGTTCATGAGTTCAAGCCCTATTAGGCTCCACGATGACAGCACAGAGCCTGCCTTCTCTCTCTCTCTCTCTCTCTCTCTCTCTTTCTCTGCCCCCCCCTGCTCATGATCCCTCTCAAAATAAATAAGTAAAACTTAAAAAAAAATTTTAATACTAAGCAATTTATTATATGTTGGAAAACATTACTATTTCTCACACACATACATTTCATCTCACCTTATGTTATTCAATAAGCTCATTAAACTCTCATAAAAGTGAAACTTCTAGGGGCACCTGGGTGGCTCAGTTGAATGGGCATCTGACTTCGACTCAGGTCATGATCTCGCAGTCTGTGAGCTCAAGCCCCGCATCAGGCTCTGTGCTGACAGCTCAAAGCCTGGAGCCTGCTTCAGATTCTGTCTCCCTCTCTCTCTGCCCCTCCACTTCTCGCAATCTCTCACTCAAAAATAAAATAAAAACATTAAAAAAAAATTTTTTAATGTGAAACTTCTAAAAATTTCCATATGGGTAAAATAAAACAAAAACACTTTTAATCATGTTCAAAGAACAACTATGACATAAGGGCTCATACTCTGTGACACAGACACAGCTGTAAGGAAGGCCTTGTGCCTAATAAGCTGTTCTGCTTGGTCAGAGGAACATATGACTCTTGATCTCAGGGTTGTGAGTTCAAGCCCCACGTTGGGTGCAGAGATTACTTAAAATAAAATCTTTAAAAAAAAAAAAAAAGAAAAAATCTAATTCCTCAGCATTCAGGAGGAAGATAATGATGGCTCCATCCTATACATACTACTTTCTTTTTTTAAGATTTTTAAGTAATCTCTACACCCAATGTGAGGCTCAAACTCATAACTCTGAGATCAAGAATCATGTGCCCTACTGACTGAGCTAGCCCAGTGCCCCTAACATGCTACTTTTTCTACCTATGGACATAAAAATTTTTAAATAAGAATGTAATTTATTAGTCAGGCAGAGAAGGACAAATATCATATGTTTGCACGTATAGGAGGATTAGGAGGAACTTGACGGAGGAACAAGGGGGAGAAGAAGGGCGGAAATGGTGGGGGAAAGGGAGAGAGGCAAACCATGAGAGACTCTTGAATGCTGACAAAAACTGAGGACTGATGGATGTGGGGGGGAGGGGGGGATGGGCATGGAGGAGGGCACTTTGGGGATGAGCACTGAGTGTTATGTAGAAACTAATTTGACAATAAACTATTTGTAAAAAATAAATAAATAAATAAATAAATAAATAATTTGTCCTGGGATGCCTAGGTGGCTCAGTTGGTTAAGCGCCCGACTTCAGCTCAGGTCATGATCTCACAGTTTGTGAGTTTGAGCCCTGCGTTGGGCTCTGTGCTGACAGCTCAGAGCCTAGAGCCTCCTTCAGATTCTGTGTCTCCCTCTCTCTCTGCCCCTCCCCCACTCGAATTCTGTCTATGTCAAAATGAATAAACATTTTAAAAA